GAAGAGTGGTTTCAATCAAATTCTTTTAAAATAATGTTATATAGTCAAGTAAGAGGTTCTAGTCGGCAGCTCCCGACTAGGGGATACCCTGAACCCTCTTCTTCCAACATCAAATATATATATATATTTTATTTTAGAAGCTATATGTCAAGCTTGGTGACTAGCACATATTATTTACCAAAATTGCCCAAAAAACAGGACATGGATATCGATTTTTATCGATTGCTTGGGAACGGAGTAAGTGATCGATTATCGGAAACAAACTGATCTGCGCGGGCCCTAGGAGCACCTACTTCTAAAATTTCAAGTCTCTAGCTCTTATAGGTTCTGAGATCCTTGCGTTCATACATACGGACGGACGGACAGACAGAAGGACATGGCTGATCGACTCGGCTACTGATGCTGATCAAGAATATATATATTTTATGGGGTCAGAAAAGCTTCCTTCTCCCTGTTACATACATTTGGATCCTTATACCCATTTTTAATGGGTTCAGAGTATAAAAATGGAAGAATTTTCTTTACATAGGGAAGATCTCTTACATTTACATTGAAGATATAATAGTTTTCGACTAAGATAATTTAGATAAAATCTGTTGAAACATTAGATGCAGTAAATATAAAATCATAAATTGACAAGTGCGATTTTTTTAAAACAGAAAAATTCATAGGATTTGTAATATCAGAAAAAGGTACAGTCACAAACCTAGCATAGGCTATCGGTAATTACTTGCTCAAAAACTCTTAAAGATTTAAAAAAATTTCTTGGATTACCAGGACATTATAGGAGATTTCTAATGGGCTTTGCTTCATAAGGTAAGCCTCTTACAACGTTACTTATAGATTTCTAATGGAGTTTTGGCTTAGAAACACATTTAAAACGACGAAACTATGCAAGCAATTCAAAAACTAAACACGTAAGAGGATCTACTCGGGAGCTCCTGACTAGGGAATACCCTGAACCCTCTTATTCCATCAAATAAATTTAAAAAAAAGTTCCCTTGGCAGGGTTCGAACTTGCAACTGACAGCCACACCAGCAAAAAAGTAAGAAGTTCTTTTCTGGAGTTCTCGAATAGGGTATACACTGAAATTATATTGCAACACCAACTGCAGCACGTCCTACGCTCTCGTTTGAAGTAATAAAGATAAATTAAAAGCATTATAAGACTTCCATTGGCAGGGTTCGAGATCGCAACTGACGGCATTACTTGCTGCCGACTCTACTCAGCAGCCTCACCATCCAAAACTAAAACAAGTACGAGGTTCTAGTCGGGAGCTCCCGACAAGGGGATACCCTGAACCCTCTTCTTTCAACATCAAATGCATATATATATTATATTTTAGAAGCTATATGTCAAGTTTAGTAACTCTAGCTCTTATTATTTACAAAAATTGCCCAAAAAACAGGATATCGAAATCGATTTTAATCGATTGCTTGGAAACGGAGTAGGTTATCGCTTATCGGAAACAAACTCGATCTGTGCGGGCACCTACATCTAAAATTTCAAATCTTTAGCTCTTATAGGTTCTAAAATCCTTGCGTTCATATATACGGACAGACAGACAGACGGACATGGCTAGATCGATTTGGCTATTGGTGCTGATCAAGAATATATATACTTAATGGGGTCAGAGGTGCTTGGATTTTGCACAAATACAATATACCCTAATACCCATTTTTAGGTAGTGCTCAAACTCTCTACTTAACAGACACACCTATATTTCAGTTTTATTAAGAAAAAACGAATAAAAATAACTGCACAGAAAACAATCGCATTTACAACGCTGTTGATAAAATTCGAAGTAGACGTGCATGAATGTGTGTGTGCACATGAATACATATGTTATAAGAATTTACGTTAGCTGCTGCTAAAACGTGCGCGATCAAATCATGTAACTTTTGTTTCTTAATCATTTTGTACAATGGAATATTTGTGTATTCTTAAAAAGTTATCGATTATCGGAAACAAACTGGATCTGCGCATGCACTTGGAGAAAGTACAGCTAAAATTTCTCTAGCTCTTATAGGTTCTGATATTCTTCCGTTCATACATACATACGGACAGACGGATGGACGGACAGACAGACATGGCCAGATCGACTTGGCTATCGAAGCTGATCAAGAATGTAACATACATTTACTTTTGCACACAAACACCACCCTTTTTACCCATTTTAATTGGGCTCAGCGTTTAAAAATGTCCTAATATCCGAGGTAGTAATATTACAATACCTATAAAAAAAATTCGTATTGACAACAGGTGCCTTGTGATCATGCAATAGTAGCAGTACTCTCACAGTACGAAAGGCGAATATATAATAATGACAGACAAGAAAGAAATGGCTACCTAGCACCTAGATACTGAAATCATTTAGGGGATATCCATATGGTGTCTCCAAAGTAAATATTTACATTCAATCAATCACCCACTCAAGAAAGGGGGATTACCTGTTGGGAGATGGAAAGCGAATTCGATGAAAATAATGAAGAGCTACTCATAAGCCCAGAAAAAAACGTAGTGTCTGGCGCATTATCAAGGATTTTAAAAAACATGATGGTAATTGAATTTATAACCAATATGCATTAAAAAATCACATATTCATTCATAAAGAACATCCCCCATTACAAATTTTTGATACCGCTCGCAACTCTCCATAAGCACAACATTACATAATCATAATTTCTTGAAGACAGCTTAATTCAAAATTTAAGAAATTTAATTAGTCAGTTATAGCGGAAAATTACACTGGGAAAGACATTATGGGGCATACGCAGAAAATATATGCTGAACATGCCGGATCTATCAAAAACAAGTCACCCTCTGGACGACGTAATTTTAAAAAATAATAGATTTTGAAGAAAATAGAATTCAACTCTCAGCAAATAGTATATTATCTATAAATGAAACAAGCAATACAGACAAAGACACCTATTCCAGAGAATCTGGGATACATACACATGCATGCAAGCATGTCTGGACAGAAAAACTAAACTTCATCATCATTAGCATAAATATAAATTATATAATCAAAAGCTTTAGAAAATTTTACGACAATGTACGTTGTAATGGACATCATCTGAAAGGCACATACGTAGTGCTCTTTGGGAATAATGCCATAAAGACAATTGACAGAGAATTCACAAATAAAAAACAATAATAATGAAACCTGAAATACCACTTATCTAGATGATTGAAAATAGACTGATTACAAATTTAATTTCTATAAGACTTACAAAAATACCATTGACATGTTGCACTGCTATCCCTATCTTACTTTGAGTTATTATATTAACCACTTCAACATTTAAAATCTGTTTTCGGAAAAGGGAAACATTTTTTAAAATAAAATTACTTTAAATTTATTCTTGTTTACTAAAACAAAAATATTATATATGATTATTTTGTAGGGTATTCTATAATTTTATTGAAAATTACTCATTGACATGGTAAGGGTTAAAATTTGATGTACAAATATATGTAACAGGCAGAAGGAACAATCTAAATATCGTCCTCCTTTTTGAAGCGGACTGACTTTTTTGGTGCGCTCCGTTTTGATTTTTATTTTTATTAAATCACTGGTTATTTAATAGTACTATTTAAAAATATAAGTTAAATATGTTTGTCTTCTACGTGAATTTAAACAAATTAATAATTTTAATTTTATACCTTGAACCCATGAAAAATAATTAAAAGCGTATAAAGTAGTTGTGGCAAATGTATGTAACAGGCACAGCGAAGCATCTTTGACCCCATAAAATATATATGATCAGCATAAAGAGCCGGGTTGATCTAGCTATGCCCGTCTGTCTGTCCATCCGTTTGTATGTATGAAAGCAAGGATCTCAAAACTTATAAGAGCTAAAAACTTGAGAAACTTAAGTTGTAGAGCTAGAGTTATTAAACTTGACATGTAACTTCTTGAATAGAACAACTTAGAACATACCAAATGTATGAAGTAAAATTAATTTTATGGTTCTCTGGTTAAGAAACAGAAGTTATTATAGTAAACGTGATTGCTGCAGCTAGCGCGAACTTGCGAATTGCATAAATTTCTGCTTGAATTACTGCTCGGGCAAACGAGCTCGTAGCGCGAGCAGAGTATGGTGTTGATAGAATAGGGTTCAGGGAATTCCCTAGTCGAGAACTCCCAACTAAATCACTTTTTTTTTTATAAATTTTGTATTAAAACATATTGGATAGTTTTCTGCATTTTTACTTTGTTTGAAGAACATCTGTGAGTTAGCTTTTGTGTTAGCAAAGAATATGTATTTTAATTTCTGTACGAAGACATTCTTGATACAGTGTATGTCATTTCCAGAATGTTCTGCAAATCTATTTCGCAGTAGCACCCAACTTATATACTCATTTTTTTTTTTTAATATTGTATACACCTTTCAGCTCCATAAACTTGGATGCTGTTCACATTTATTATAAATTTGTTCTCTTATATGTCGTATATAAATAAATATAAAGTAAATATTGCTCATAAAATGAATAAGATATGTTATTGAATGTTATGTTATACTGCATAAAATAATTTGTACTTTGTACTACTTTTTTTTTATAGATTTGCGTTTAAATGGCATTAAAACTAATAATTGCCGAGTTTGGTGAATAAATCTTCATAAAAAAATTGTATACAAAAGAACCTAATTTTTGATATTTTATGGCAGTTATTCGATATAGTGGTCCAGTGCTAGAAAGACGGAACTATGAAAAGTTCGAGAAACCAGTTCGCAAAGAAACAAACAGAAGGTGATGGTTTTATCGACTCGCCTGTAGATGCAGACCAAGAATATATATACATTATGGGGTCAGAAGTTCTTCCTTCTGCTACAGACATTTGCCGAAAACAATTATACTCTATCCAATTGCAATAGGTTCGCGGTAAACAAAATAATTTTATTTTCCATGAAGGTGACAAAATAAATCCCAATATAAAGAAACGATAAGCCTATCCATTAATATACTTCTCCATTTTGAATTTCACACTTACCTGTGTATAGTATGATTCATCTGGTTTGATCGCCGACAGGAGATTTATAGCTTCGCTAACATTACATTTTTCAAGCATAAGCTGCGAATGAGCAATAATTAAACGGCCCATTTCACTTGTGCTCCTAAATTCTTCAATGGCAGACTGCAAAATACGTTCACTTTCGTAAATTCCATGTACATCACCCATCTCGCGAAGAACATAAATTAACTCTATGTATATAGTCATTTTATGAGAACTTGATATGTTATTATAGGTTCGCGTTTTATAAATCTGCTGGACACCTTTCGACATTTCTCCAAATAATTGCAACGCAAGTAGAAAACTCTGATAAGCTTCTGATAGCTTCTGTTGATGCTTAAGTATTATACCCTTTAACAAATGGTACATGGGCCGTTCTCGGACTGTAAATTCCTGTGATAAAGACAGATCTAGATACTCTAACGCTTTAAAGTATTGCCTTTTTTCCACTAATATTTGAGCTAATAATATATGAGCTTCGGTGAATGTATCTCCAAATAAATTAAGAATGCGCTGCAAACGGCTTATGGCTTTGGAATGTTGACCACAAAGAAATTCAACCGTTGCTCGCAAAAACAAGGCCTGCAAAATAAATATAAAAAAATTTATGTGTTATACAGATTTAATCAGTATGTATTTACTTCTTGATGTCCGGGACATAAATGTAGTATGGTTTCCAGTATGTTTACACTGTGCTTGAGGGTAATATGCACTGATTCCTGACCCAAATCCAAGTCATAACGTGATTCTTTTATTGGAGCTGGAGTCTGTCGAATCAGCTCCCTACATATCTCAAGCATAAAATCAGGATTCATGGAGCATATATATTCAAAACCAAAGGGCAGATAAGTTAATTTTTGAATATGTAGCTCAGCTGCTTCTGCCAACAAGTTCACTGACGTCTTCTGCTCCTTTGGATCGGCAAACAAAGCGGACATATACATAACCATTGCATTAGGTTTAAAATCAGTTAGCTTCATGAGGTATGCTAACTGTTGTTGTATTTGTTGCCTACTCTCAAAATCTGTAGGAGATTTCAATTTACACAACGTTAGGCCACAAAGCGCATTAAAGTTGCTACTATCAACGTTACAAGCCGAGCGAAATGCTAGTTCTGCATCGGAAATATTGTCTAGTAATAATTTCTGATAGCCTAATTCGGCTAAAAGGCTCACATTATCAGGATTCAATTCATTGACCTTTTCAATACATCGCAGCGTCAATTCCAGTAGTTCTGAGTTTCTTGAACAGATCCGAGAAAATAGTTGGCATATTTGAACAAGAAGTATAAGATTTCCGGGCTCAGAATACTCTACAGAAATTAGCAGCTGTTGAAGTGTAGCTATCCCAGATTTGAAATTGCTTTCTCGCACGATATTCAACATGCCCTTATTGCGCAGAGCTGCCACGTTCACAGACTCAATATTGATCACTTTAATGGCAGTTTCCAGCGAGTTATCCCAGTCTAGTGCAGCAAGATGCGTTTCCATTTTCTCAATAAGAGGTATGCTTGTGTCGGGAAATCGTATGCTAAGCTTATTGATTAATAAAAGGGCTTCTTCAAATTGTCGGCGCTTTTGTAAATATCGCACAAGTGCTAATGATGCATCAATATTCTTTCCGTTGCTTCGGGAAATACACCCTTCGAGCAAGCTGTGCAATTTCCGATTGGTAGATAGATCCATACACATAGATAGTTCGCACCATATTTTCAGGACCAGAGCTGCATCAGAATTGACTTCATTTTTCATAGACCTCCCGATATAATCTAGGGCCACATCAAAATTGCCAACTAAGTATAAGAAGACAGCTGTATAATAACATGAAGAAGTGCTGATGGTTTTGTTTTCGTCGGCTATTCGATTTTCAAGTGCTTGTATTGCTTCCATATTTATTACGCGGCAATGTTTGTGGGCGTAGATTAGTGCCATTTTGGCTGCCAACCCTAATTCCAATTCATTTTTTAACGGGTTCAATTCACGGATACACTCCTGCATTCGATTTCCCAAGGCAAGCGCAATACCATTGAACAATCTAAAGTCTGATTGCAACGGAAACTTGGTTAATCCGTCCAATGCCGTTTTCTGCATTGAATTATAAAACCGTGTTCTTCCATAGTACAGTACTAAGCTTTTATAGTCGTTAGCGTCCATATTAATAGTATTTAGGTTTATTAATAAATTACACAGTTAATACAAGATATATTTTAAGTAACGTGGTTCATATTGTTCAATGTAGAATTGTACAAAACTGCATGATATTTTGAGAATTAAGTCATGTTGTACGGCATATTCCAAAGCTACCTGAAAAGAGACAAATTACACATACAATATCTTTACTGCAAACATACAAACATATGTATGTAAAAACAATTGTTATATCTTAAAGTTATTTACATACTTATCACATCAAGTGTTATTTTTTCATTTGTATTTTTTAAATTGAACGCATGTTAATATGTATTTAACTAAGAAACAACCGGACTACTAAAGTTGACCGGGGACTTTCTTCAATAAAGAATTTTTGATATATGCAAATATGTGTGTACGGTTTAGTTTGTTGAATAGCAACCAGATTGCATAGCAACGCTTTATAAAATTTGTTGAAGAGAGATGGTATACAAATACCTTAGCCAATAACTTGCCCAGACCGTGTCCGCCCAATTTTTTAGGAACCTTTGTCTGCTTTATTTCCATAACTCCATCATTAATAGAGTATTTCAATTCAGCAACTTCATCGTTCATTTCTATAAAAAACCTATTTTCTTCGTGCACTATTTTAATAATTGTACCCATGCACCTACAATGGGTACGTAATCTTGATATTTGAAATGTTTCGGGTTTTTTTAAAGTTGTGAAATTTTGAGTTCTAAGAGGCAGCTGTAATTGTGAATATACAACCCGATTGGCTTTTGGCAAGGAAATGATGCAAATATTTTTAAGGCTGCTGCACATAACCCTTGAAACGGAAAACATATTATCTAAAGTAGGAAAATGAGAAAAATTAATTATATATTGAATAAAAGTTTATAGTTAAACTAATACTTAACACAAGTACCAAGGCCCTCAGAAGTTCTATTACTTTCCTGCGAATTGATAGTCCTAAGCAATTCTATTTGGAGTGGAGATGGATATTAAAGATGACAAATATTTAATTACCCCATTTCAAGTATCAAGTATTAAAAAGTAACTAGTTACTGGTAACAACCACTTCCAAAAGTAATTGTAATGTCAATATAGCTGAGTAATGAAGTAACGAGCTAAAATGCAAGAATTTCGCATCGACCTTGCAAATCCTTATATTATTTTATATTACTCGTTCCTTCAAAAGCGAAGGCCTCCGCCATTAGTGAAAAAATTGAATTTGTGCGCATTGTTGCTTGTGCGGAAACATACACAGATGCATTGTGATCCCTAGACATAATAAAAGAGCCAATAGTAAGCCAAAGCATCTGTAGGGAGGGTGAGATAAAAAACAGCGATGCCGCACACACAAATCATATAGATCGGAGTGAGCTAAAGCAGTTTCCTGTAGTGGTACCGACATAAATGACACAGATGCCGTTTTAACATATTTATCATATGTATTTCTTATAGCCTATGTCCACTGGTTTCAGAAATGTCATTTTAAATTTCACATAATATGCCGTTTGCCCCGAACATTTCGTGTTTCTTGTGATGACTAATCGAGATTTCTATCGCTGTTTTGAAAAATGTGAAAGTATCATAACCATAACAGCTGCTATATCACAGAATTTAAACATGGCGAAATGTGGAAAAGAGTACCAAGAATGAAACCCTTACTTCGAAAGTGCATTCTTTGAGTTTTGGAAGAAAAACTTTGCGGCGCTTATGTGAATTAAGGCAACTCGATCAGCTGTTTTTTGAAGAAAGTGGTACTTTGCCCACTCGCATGTTACCGACAAATGGCGGACCACCAATATTTGAAATTTGAAAATGTGACATTTCTTAAGCCAGTAGAGAAAGGCTTTAATAATTGTTGCATTTGACATTATTTTATTTTCCTTCTGTTTGTTGTTATGTTGCATTCGATATTATCGGCCGCGTCGATATCGTTTTTGTTGTGTGGTTAGGTTATCGGGGGCCAGATTTAGGGACGCCCAATTGTAATCCACTGCGCAGAGCGAAAAAGCGCAGAAGCGCTGCGACTGGCCCCCCGATTCGCTCACAGGAGAGTAGGAGGACATCATATCGGGTGCCCTTCGTAATGCCCTTTGCCTTCAACTTGCCTTTGACCCAGAGATGCTGTTGTGCATATGGGCAGCATAAACTCAGCATCAATCAATCGTGCCCAAATGCACAGCAGAGAGTTTGATTTTGTCAGTGGTTAAAGGCGAGTGTGTTGTTTGCAGACGCAGCCAGTTAAGTTTCCGGCCCCTCAACCTTAAACGTGAAAGAAAAAAATATTCCTTCCCTAAGAACCTACTGGCAAAATCACCGATACCTATGTAAAGGTTGTACATGTATACAACCAGCTAGGTCGTAGTCGTACAAAATTCGCAAAAGACAAAAAACTAGTTTTGCACATAATCAAACTTATATCAAAATTCCATTGTTTAATGAAACTCAAAAAGTAATATATTTCAATAAGGTTACTATAATACTGAATCCTTTAAAACATATTAAATTTAATCACGAATTACTTTTAATAAAATATCGACTTAATGATGACCTAAAAAATCTGCTGGATACTATTACATTTTCTGAAGCCAGAATATTAAACCCAAAAATGTAAACAAACAGGACATAATAAATATATTCCATCACAAAAATGTACACGCCAAAACCTGAACCGCCAAAGAGAAACAAAATATATATCTCAACGGCTCAAAGAAAATAATTTAAGGCGACCGATTCCCACGCCGAAGGACTTCAGCCAGACCCACCTAATTATATTTATATTATAGTCTAACCTTTGATGTTTTCATTTATTTGTATTTCCAGCTATTTATTTATGTTATTCCTATATAAACGTTTCAGCTGTTTGATGTTGCTAAATTTTTTAGCTCGTTTTGCTATAGTGTTTGCTACAGATGCTCTAAGGTAGCTCGGACAACCCCTAGATAACCGATGAACCAGCCGGCACGGCCAAAAGCAAAAAGGAGTTCCGTAACATAATGTACATAGATGTACATAGATAATTTGTTTGTACTTATTATTTCTCACAAGGAGTAGAGGACCACAAAGTGTAACTTTTCAACACTTACTACAAATCTGCGGCGTAATTTTAGACAAAATAAAATGTAAAAACGTATTTCCTTGACTTTAAATTTATATTAGTGCCTATGTAAAATAAGTAGAAGATTTCAAAGAGTTTGACTAATGTATTCATAAATATTATCATTATATTATTATTGTTATATAAAGAATGTGATTTTATGAATAAATTAAGTAGTAGTAGCGAGCATTTTCATATGTATATTAAATGCCTTTGATTGAAGAGTGTGTATTTTCGAACACTCTTACTTTAAATATTCTCAGAAGATGCAGTAATCGATTCTTGCATTTTTTCGATTGTTTCGTTTTCGATAGTAATTTAAATTGCATTAGCTGCTATAGATTGGGATTGTCCCTTGTTGTGATCGTGCTCAGGACCCTCAATATACACATAAAAAAAAATGGGTAAAATGGATATAATGTATTTGTGCAAATGTATCTAATAGACAGATGGAAAGTTCTCCGACCGTATAAAGTATATATACTCTTGATCAGCATCACAAGCCGAGTCGATCAAGCCATGTCCATTTGTCTGCCCATCCGTTCGTAAGTATAAACGCAATGATCTCAGAACCTGTAAGAACTAGAGACTTGAAATGTTGATCGTAACTACATAGGTTCGTCTGGTGACCGGTCAATACAAGATTGTTTCGGATAATAAATAACTTACCCCCTATCCAAGCAATCGATGAAGCTCGATAAAGAAATCCTGTTTTTTGAGCAAATTTCTTAGGTTTTAAGAGTTAGAGTCAATGATTGTCTATAATTTTTACAGATCATATTATATGCTTTTATGTGCTTTTTATCTGAACAAAATATGTATATCCACATGTAACATTTTGCCTGCATATGGTGGGATTGGTATAACGTATGGCGCTTGTTTCTAAGGGTCACTCACAAGTTGCCCTTGTGCAAATTCTGCAATTTGCAACTACCTCTCTATTGTTGTACAAAATTGAGCAGCTCTATGTGCACCATGTTTTTGCAATGCCAGAATTTAGTGGTTGGAAAGCTCTGTACCAAGGCGTGGTGGAAGCCAGCCAAGGTTGGAAAATCGCAGCGCATTACTTTTTTTACGTCTGGGCTCACCACAAGTTGTTGTGTATATAAAGGCGTGCTTTTGTCAATGAGGTTGGTCATGTGGCGAGCCTTACTTCCGAAGGTTATCAGATGACGTTTCAAGGGGAAACGTGCTTCTTCCAAAACCTGAATCCGAAATCAATTGTAAGGCGTCTCACTTGTTTCAATCGTTGAGGCCATTGACTGTTCACTATGAATCGTGGAGGGGTCTGATTCCTCTTCATTTTGTGAAAGCTTGCCTAGGGCCCATACATTTCATTGGCTGTGTGATTAGTCCCTCTATCTTTCTTGGGACAGGACAGCATCTTTGCCATATGCGGACACATGTTGTAGATCGAAATGTTCTAAAATAGCGGTTAATGAGCATTACCTATTCTGAAGCCAAAATGCTTTTAATTCTCTCAAATGCATTGCGCTGTGTTTCGTCGACATCAATTTAAATCTTCGTAGATGCATGTTTGCTAACTGTGCCATGTTTGAATTTTAATAATTTGCTGAGTGGAGCTCTTGAGGCAAAGTAATTTACGAAACACCTATAATAGCTCAAAAGGTAAAGCAATGATTTGAGAGCAAACAAATTTTTTGGCTTTACTTATATTTGAATGGTTTTCAGCTCTCCTTAAATAGTTGAAATTTCTCTCTCGCAAATCTTATGTTAGTGTCAGGCAATTCGAATTGTTCCGTTTCTAAAGAGATCTTTAATCTCTTTAATAACCAAATCCGTAAATCTCATTGGGTAATAGCACTTACCATACAATGCATAGTGTAAAGGAGATTCAAAATAAATTTTTTTGTTCATTGAAGATTCTGCTCCAATCGGAACTTTATTGGTTTGATCTTCGTCATGAATATCTTTACAATGTTTTACTTAGGTTTTACTTAGCTAAGACCGCGCGAACGGCGCTGTTATATACTTATACATATGACTGTTATATACTTATACATATGTATGTAGGCAGCGTTGAGAGCTGCGATGAGAGGGAGTATATTTATGTGCACTTATATATTGTAGTGCCCGCCGGTTTCTGTGAGAAACGCTGACGGTGCGTCGCTGAAATGTGCTTAATATTTCTTTTTGTAAACACTATAGCAAAGTGTTAAAGTGTAACAGTTTTTCAGTAAGTATGAAGTTAATTTATATATAATAGTATTAATGAATGTGTATATATTTAAAATTTTGCATGTGATAATAATTAAAGGGGTTTTCCCTTTTCTTTTTATACCCTGAACCCATTAAAAATGGGTATAAGGGTATATTGTATTTGTGCAAAATCCAAATGTATGTAACAAGCAGAAGAAAGCATCTCCGACCCCATAAAGTATATATATTCTTGATCAGCACCAATAGCCGAGTCGATCTAGCCATGTCCGTCTGTCTGTCCTAGTTCCCGCGCAGATCGAGTTTGTTTCCGATAATCGATAACTTACTCCGATATCGACATCCTGTTTATTTTGCAAATTGGGTAAATAATAAGAGGTAGAGCCACCAAACATGATATGTTGCTTCTAGAATATTATAGATATATCAAGTATCTTTCATTTCATACCTATCGCCACCTTCCCGCTACCACCCCAGAGCTATACATCTAATTAATAACCCAACTTTTATTGCCAACCAATTTTAACCACAATTTAAATGCAATTGACTTTTTCATGGTACACAAATATTCTATGGTACAATAAGATATACTATAGAAAATTTCATAAAGATCGGTTAGGAAAAACCAAAGTTATATGCAACTGCGCAATTGAATGGGGCAGCAGCTTTAAGAATTCCTGTATACATGTACACACACACATTCATGCGCGTCTGCGCATGCGTTCGCATTCTA